ATTTGTGGGCCAAACTTTTTACCTGGTGTCTGTCTGCTGTTTGTCAAAATCTTCCATTGAATTCTCAGAGAAGGGGAGATTTTTGTTTTTCTTATAGCATAACTAAAGCTGCTTTATTACTTTTGTATCTTCTGTCCTTCTAATTACACTGAAACTGTATGTCAGGTTTGATTTACATATATGATGACACAAAGTCTTGGCTTCTGTTCCTCTTTTAATTCCAAAGGTTAAATTCTCTGGGTGGTAGGAAGATGCTACTTTAGGGACACGGATGCTTCCAGTAAAAAGAGAGCACTTATTTCCTGTACTAAAGATGTGTCACATGAGTTTACACTTCACTATGCTTGTATGATTGTTATGTTTTCCTAACTTTTTCATAGACTATAGTAGTTCTGCTTACCTGCAGAAAAAGTGGAAAATATTGAAAAGAACTTGTTACTGTAGTAGCACTGTCACTTTTTGGAAGCTGGTAAGGGTATTTTACAGATCTAGCTGTTGCAGTAATCAAGCAGGCCAAATGTTAGGTTCCTAAATGTTCAATCCTTGATCCTTCATTTTGCTGCCGCTTAACTCTGCAGGGAAAGACCAAGACACAGTGAGGTTCATGCTAGATGTGTGCCTGAGAGTGGAATCTAGAATGTTGCTGTAGACCATCGGTTGTTTGTTAAGTGCTTGAAGGACAGGAAAGTGCTACATATGTGGATCCATTACAGGCAGCTCTAAGCTAAAAGCAAATTGGTAACATTAAGCTTAGTTTGTCTTATGTCCTCCCCAAGAATGCTTTAACTCAGAGGCTCCAGTAAGCAGCCTTGTCTACTCAGCATCCTCTCCTAGCCCATCAGAGCTTGCTCTTTTAAGAACAAAGCAAGATGGGTCCCACTTCAACGAGTAGGACGTCATATGTAAAGGTCCCACAATGTCCAGTTTTGTTCTCTGTATTAGGAAGCAAGAGAAGAGAATGCCCAGCCACGCCATAAGCAGCTCTAGATGGGCACGTTCTGTCTGTCACTGCAGAAAGATTGGGGGGCGGAGGAGGCAAGTGCAGCCTCATGGTTTGGATAGGTGTGCATATAATGAGAGAGAAACACTTAGTTCTGCTGCTTGAATTGCTTAAGTATGTTACGTTACAGTCACTATAATAAGCTGCAGCATAGTAGGAGTTGAGAAATGACTGCTCACTCTCAAACTGACTATAGCATCAGTTGTAAAACATCTTTATATTATGATTTTAAGGACACAAATAATATCTAGAAAGTACAGAATCTCTGCAAAGAGCCCATTATGTCACAGGGCTTTTACATTCCACCATTGCCTTTTGAGGTATTCTGACTGGGTTTCTCCCAGGCTTTAAAAAAAAAAAAAAAAAAAAAAAAGGCAACAAACTGTTGCTGAGTCAGAGCAAGCTCTCATTAGAGTTATTATGCTGACTTACTTACAAGTGTAACTCATACCACAGATAGATGAGCAAGTTACACCAAGCAAAGAGAATTAGTACTGATAAACTAAAATAGGATAGCAGACAAGTTCTATCATACAATGACCATATACCACTATTCAATGTAAAGGTAAATTCATTCTCTGTTTTCTGCCTTGAGTCATTTGCTATTTGAGAAGGGTTTGGATTTTGAAATATGAAAGCCCATGTAGCTTTTACCAGGCATACAGCAGAATAATTTCTATTTTGCTTTCCAAGCTGCTTAATTTTTAACTATAATTTGAGCCTAGTTTATCTATTTTATATCAGTCTTCAAATCACTCCCACAAAAGCAGAAGACTGATGTAGCCAACTGTCTTAGGACAGGTTCACCTAATTCCCTTTTCATTTAATCACTGTGGAAGAGGTGTAATCTACTGCAGGAGAAAGGGTGGAAGGTTTTGGGGGCTAGACAAGTAAGGATTTCCTTGTGAAGTTATAGTGTGTTCCTAATAACAGCTCTCTGCCTTTAAATTGCCTCTACTCTTTTCTAGAATTTCTCCTGTCTGAAGGCAAACTCAGTTGTTGCTAGCTTGCTTTTTAAAATGTCATTTAAGGTTATAGTATCTCACAAATTACCCATTCTCTGGCCTACCACTTGAACAGGACTAAGCATGTGTTACCTTTTGTGTTAAGCATGGAATGGCAGATTGTTGGAATATATGAAAAATAACAAATGAAGTTTGGTGTTGTCATCACAGTGACCACCCCTGTGTATTTTTATAGGCTTGCTCATTATTCTGTAATGATAAAAGCAATGGCTGGAAAGGTAATTATCAGTGCTGCTTATTTAAGGATAGCTTTTAGCCTGGGATGGTGAGCAAGACCTTCACTGTGTGCTGAGGAAAGGCGTGCCATCAGGGAGCACATCACACCTGGCACTTGTCCCCTGTGTGCTAAGCTTCACTCTTCTCTGCTGTCCTTTTCAGGAACAGGCACATGTTTAGACTTTTGCTTGTTAGTTTATTTTTCAGTATTAACATAAATTATATTCAGCAAGGTACAGCATCTATAGAATAGTGCCAGCAAAATATTTTTCTATTATAACACAGCAGTTTTTTAGCCAACGTAGCAAACTAATAGGAAAGATTCAGTTTTATAAAGCAGCCAGTTATTTTGATAACCTGCTGGCTATCTAGTCATAGTTGTCAGGGAATCCTTTGTGTGTTTTTTTGAGTCACTCAGTATTAAAATTAACTTAATGTATTTTCAGATGCTTTATGTAGAACCATTAAAGTGTCATTATGATTAAGGAGCACACAACCTATTGTATTTCAATAGAGAAATTACACCTAAATCCTTTAGGTGCCTTTGAAAATTTTTAAATTATCAATAGTATCATAAATGAACACCAAATCTAAACACTTTCTGTAACAAAATATAAAATTAATTTACATGTTTCACACTTGATGATAAACAACAAAATTCCCAATATTGTCAGCCGTCTGCTCCAGTATTTTTTCTGTTTCACTACAGTATAAAACAGCATTAGATACAGCTTCAGGAAGCCGTAATAATCTGAAATCCAAGGATCTTAGACTAAGCATGCCAAAAATTAATCTCAAAACCTGTTTGTAAAATTAGCTCTTTATACTAACTCCACATTTTCATTCAAAATAAAATATGCACCACTTTAAATTAGCAAGAAAGCTGATGAATAATTTTTTGCCAAACTACGAATGCTGTTGACGGTGATGCTCAGCTGTACCTATCAACAGTGCATAGAATGGCTAAATGGTGAAGGATGCTGGCATAACCTGGAAATGAAATACTTGTCTATGATAGCATGTTCTCTCTTAGGAATAAGCTTGGTTCTCCACTCTGTTGTTAATGGTTTTGCAAACTTTGACAGGAACGATAAGCATCAAAATGGCTTTTTCTTTCCTTTTTTGACTTGTGAGACTAAACAAGGTTTCATTATTTTGTAGTAATAAAAACATTTGATTAAAATCTATAAAACATCAAATGGAAAGGGGACGATAATCTATTTGGCAGCATGAATTTGACCTGTAAAGACAATCAGAAAGGCCATTCAGAGTAGTGAATACAGCTTCTACCAATTTGTTTATGTTTGCAAGGCAGAAGAAACAAAGTATAAATTACTGGTTTGGAGGTGAGGAGGACACAATTTCATTTAATTTGAAATTGTTTCAAAATTTCTTTAAAAATCCCATAGCTGCTGAGGAGCATGGCAGGAAAGTAGACCTGGCATATGGATCATCTTTAGAAGTGGTCAAAATCAGATATAATTTGCAAACTTATTTATTTTTTTGTTAAACTACATATTCTGACAGAAGGAGAAGAAGGGTTGGACTTCTTTAAACATTTGTTTGGCTAATCAGTTGGACAATGATTCAGCCAAGGATTTTGAAGTACATTATAAAGTCTTAAATATGAAGTATGTTTGTCCTCTTTACCTGCTGCTGCTTGTCATTTAGCTTTTCTTCTACTCCTGAGCAAGCTTGGATGATACTTGCATGTGACCCAGAAATTTTCGATATAGCATATTGTTGTCTCCTGCAACAGATCAAATGTATTTCTTTCTTTTCAAGTTTATAATAGAGTTATTTTTTTTACCCCAATACAGTCCAAAATATAAATAGTCTATTTTGAAAAAAGAAATAGAACAGCCTTAAGTCATTAAAAATACAGAGGAAATCACAATAAACCTGCCTTGTTTGTACCCCATACTAGGTGAATGTTATTTCATGTCATTACCAAGCCTGACTCCTCTTGCAGGTTGTCAACCTTTCATTTTTTGGCTGCTCTCATCTTTCTTCCCTTCTTATTATAACTCACAACCTCTTCTGCTTAAGTTCCTTTGATGTACCTGGCTCTATTCCATCTGTGATAAACCCCCCACTGTCTTTGAGAAAAGATTACAAATTATTGTCTCATTTATGTTTATTTGTCTTGCCTTTTTTTTTTTTTTTTTTTTAAGGTCACTGCCCATGAGTAAACAGGTTTAAGCTCTCCTTAGTGAATTTTCTGCATGTTAATTGACAAGAACAGCTCCACAGTCCTTGGCTTTCAACTCATGTTTCAGTAGCATCATTCTTTAGGCAGTTATCTATTACTGAAATTTTTTTCTAATTTTAATGAGTTTCCTCTAGAGTGTTCCTTCTTTCTAGCCAAAGGACTAGCAAGATGACAAACACACCTTGCAGTAAGCATAAGGAAGTCAGAGTCCAGTAACCCTAAACAGAGCTAGTGGGGCAGAATAAAGTTTTTGCTAATTATTTATTACTATTAGAATTATTTATTGCTGTTTGCTAATTATTTGTTAAAAATGCAAGTTCAGTTAAATGGTTTACTTTTGATTTTATGCTTTATGAACCATTAAAGAATGAAGGTAAACACGACACCTGTAGCTGTACTTGCTATAGAACTTTCTCTACAACTCCAGCAGCTGTTTAAGCCTCAGCATATAACTTAAGCAATATCTTTTACTGTAAACACATTTTATATATGAACTGCAACTGCTAACTAAATACATACTCTTTTTTTCTTTTTTTTTTTTAAACAGGTATTAAAGCTGTATTTTCTGGACATTACCATAGGAATGCTGGAGGGTCCTACAGAGGACTGGAAGTGGTGGTTTCATCAGCTATAGGATGTCAGCTGGGAGAAGATACACATGGGCTTCGGGTGGTTGTTGTCACAGATGAAAAGATTGTTCATAGATACTACAGTTTAAATGAACTGAGCAGCCAAGGCATAGAGAAAGAGCTGCTAGATATGCTTGCTAAGCAAAATTAGGCTATGTCAAATGATGTGATTTTTTTCTCCATATTAGACAAATAGAAACAGTTTCAAAAAGTTTCCCCAAGCTGAAGATACAGATTCCTGATTGTGCACCATGCCCCAGAACAGCTCTCAATTTGTTATCATCCTAAATAACAAGAAAGTTGTTGACATGTTTCTCTCTTGAAAATGAGACCTATGTGGAATATGGAAGAATAGCAGAATTCATATGGTAATATGTCATTGAAAAGAACAGTTCTGAGAATTTTTACTTTGCTCCTAGATACAACTTTCTTAGTAGAAAGTGTATTAAAGAGTGAGAGTTGTAGCTTCTAGATAACCCTTTAACTCAAGTCTATTTTAGTTTTATATTTGAGAGGGTATTTTAAAATCAAGAAATTTAGTATTTTCTATTACACTCTGGAAAATGTAAATGGGACTCTTTTTACTCTGCAAAAACAATCTCAAAAAGTCTGAAATCAACAGATTTCCACTGACTTTTAGCAACCTTTGGATCAGATCTTGTTACCTAGAGATTGTATTTTCTCCCATTTCCCATACTTTATTTTCTTAGCCCTTCAGAGCCAGCAGCAATATGAAAGCAAAGACATTCTGTTTTGCAGTCACACCTTGGGTTTCTGTTACATCCTAGTTTTATATAATGAGAAGTCTATAAATGAAGCTAATATAGACGCCACTGACAGAAACTAAACATGGAATGACTATTTTCCTTTTGAAATTTAACTAATATTCAATTAGCATATATTCTTGCTATAGCTTCAGAAGTTGGAATAATTGTATGGGGAGAATATTCTGCACAGAATACTGTTATCAGAAGTCACTTTGTTGATTCCTATGCAAGGGGAGAGCTTTGATTTCCAAATGCAATTTAAGAATGCCTTACTGTAATATTATACAATATTGAATGTTGAAAACCCTAAAAAGTATCTTTTCTTCACTGGAATAAGTCTTTAAAAATAAATTATATAAAAAGAAATTTATGTGCTGCAATCCACCTCATTTTTTTAGCAAGTGCATCTGATTTGTTTACTGTTAAATACAAAGAAAAGTCTTAATGTAATTAACACATACCTGGTTTTATTTTCTTAGTTGAACACATTATAATCCATGCCACAGGTTATCTAGAAATAGATATAGCACAGCTTTAGCACCTGAAGAGGGAAGAATACAAACAATACTGGCTGAGAAAGTAATGCAGTCTATCCGTTTTTATATATACTCACATACAACATCATTCCCTAGAAGATATAACAGATATTTCAATATGGTGAGAGAGATGAAATGCTGAGCTGAAAAGTCAGTTTCATTACATTTTAGTCATAACAGTTTATCTAGGAGGCTCATTCAAGCTTGATTTGTGGGACTTGTAAGATTCTAAAATTACCTCTGTAGCATTTCCTTGCATCAGTGAAACAGCTGTACCTCCAGGTGGACAGGACCAAATGTGGACTGCTGTCCCATGACAATAACCTAAGTGTAGGTAATGTTTGATTCAGAAAGAAAGAAAATTATTTTGCTTTTATTCTCCACCTGGTTTTGCTTAGTTGAATGTTTTCACAGTCTCATTTTCAATGGAACATCTGGGAAATGAGAACTAACATCTAAGGCTAGATTACTTTGAAATAGGTTGGTACCCAAGTACCCAAGTGGCAGTTTCATTGTAAGTTAAGCACCCGTTAGTTCAGATACTGGTTTTAAAAATCTGTGTACTTAGATATCTTTTAAGCCACTGACTACTTTTAAAATTTGATCTTATATAACTGGGAGCTATTTAGTAATCATAGCTAATTAACCATTTCAGGAATGAGATGATGCTAGTTTATGTTTTGCAGAAGGAAGAATAGTGTCTCTATGACTGACTTAAATCTTTAAGGCAGCTTACATCATAAGGCTGAAGAAGTTGAGCAGAGGGACTTGAGATAATCTGAGCATGGAATATGCTCTCTGCTCCGGTGCAATATTGTAAAGCTGAATGGAGGAAAACTTTAAACAGTTTTTTAATATGCCTGTTTATTAAAGGATATAATTTTAACTAAATATATGAACTTTGGGAGACTGAAATATAACTTCGGGAGAAAGTCTGTCCACAAATATGAAAATGCTAATAGCAGTGGTACATAGCGTTCTAAAATTTGGTTTTCAGGGTTACAGTGTACTAATATACAAAAGAAATGTTTATATAAGCATAATTTTAATTCTAATTTTTAAATTATTTTTTCCACTTTTTTCAAGTGTCATTTCACCCTAAGAAATTCTATGGCATTTTGTCATGAAAATATCCCATAAGTACAAAGCTGAAGTTCAATTAGAAAAAAATTAAGGTTTCCTTATATCCCAAGTTCTTCCTTTATTTAGTGATTTCTAAGCATATCATCTTGTTATGTTCATGTGTAAAAATATGACCAGATTCGTCTTCAGTTTATAAGATAGTAAAGTTGGGCTGCTGATTTTTATTAAATGCCTTCTTGTCCTGTATAGGATTTGGGGAGCTAACAACAGTGTTGTGGAGCTACACGTTATGTAGGCTCTTGCCTAGATTTCTGTCTTACCTGTCGTGACGACAGGTAATCAGTAAGTAGCGTACTTTCTATTATTGTCTATTGAACTAGATGGTAAAGTAGAAAACCCCAGATATATGCTTAAAGTCTTGGTGACAACTGTGATTAACTTCATAGGATGAAGAAAAATATTCTCCGAGTTTTACATCTGAAACATGGAAAACATTTATTTTGGTTCTCACCTTGCAAATTTTCAAAAGGAAGAAAATTAAAATGTCAGAGATGAGTAAGTTGTGTGCATAACTATTACTTTGTAGCTTGGATGACATTCTGATGAACATAATGTTAGCTGAAATAAGGAAATTACCTCCTGTAGTACTTTGACCTTTTTGAGCCCATGCCTCATTTCAGTGAATTAATTAAGAATTCCCTGCGCTAGCCCAAAATAGGAAGGGGTATCCAGCATTTCATTAGTTGTTCATTTTGCCATTGCCTTAGTTTGACACATGTAGTCTAAGTTAGCACACATATTAAACTTCTTGGCATCCAAAAATCTAAGATAGTGGGAAAATAAATAAAATCTATTTCCCTTGCAATGCACGTTGTTTCAAAACATTTCTTGTTTTGAATGACAACTCAGAACTTCCACCCAATTTCTCATTCATATGAAGTGGATGCAATCGTGTAACTCAGATGAAAACGCATCCTCATTTATATAATACAATCATGGGAAGGTTTTTTAACCATAGTGTGTTGCTGGACATTACAGTATGAAGCAAAGAGTTAAAAAAATAAAATAGGAATGTGCTTTTTCACCAGCATAAATGACAAATTTTGTTTGATCACTTTTCTTAGCATAATGAGCTAATTTAGAATTAATACTGATGCCTTAACTAATTTGAGATGGCAGAGGTCCTTGTGGTCACAGTGCCTCATCTCGTTTATGTAGAGAAAAATAATTCAGATTATGTTAAATTATGAAACAATCCACCCATGGAGACACTAATTATCATTTAAAAAAACATCTTTTGATGTTGAGGACATTATTTTTATATCTCCAGCAGGGCTGATAATTGTAACTCTGTCAGTATATGACTGACTTTAAAGCAAGATGTCACTAGAAGTTCAAACTGCTGATGAAATAGAGAGCAAGTCCTCGTGCATTTCTGTGGACTCAAGGGTTTGGGCAGAGAGGAAAAAAAATCCAAGCGACCACAATTCATTTTGGTTTTCTGCGGGCAGCTAAAAGGCTGAGATAACCTCTGCTGACTCTTATTAAATGTGGAAAATTCATATTAGCACACTACAGTAACCTGTGAAAGTAACCAAATACTACATAATTAAGTACAATCTGAGGTGGAGACCTATGAACAGGAGGCAAATTACTGAAAAAATGTCTTTGAGATCAATCTTGGTTTGCCAGTTTCAGTGTAAGGAACAAACTGAAGAACACACTTCCAAATCTTTCCAAAAAGGTCATTAAGCCTTGGATACACTCTGTTTGTGTACAGCTTGCCTTTCATTCATTTGGGTCCAGCATCTAATCCTGCAAGTTTTAATAGAGGCAATATTTTGATAGGACTACAGTATTCAGCTTCTGGGTATTACAAACAGAAAATAATCACTTGAAGTCTTATTAAAACTTAATCACATTTTATATTGGGAATGGGCAGTGGCAGAGATAAAGTCTCTTCCGTCATCCCTCTTTGGAGACTGAATGTCCTGTGTTCACTCTGCTTCAGTGACTGCTTTCTTACCCTTACCTCAGCACAGCAACTTGTTTTCTAGTGCCTGTTTTTTCCAGACATTATCCTCAAGGAGCTGTTTTTATTCTGCTATGAGAAGAAATAATTAGACACACATCTAATATAAGCAAATATACAAAGCATTAAAAACTAAACATTTCACTGCTTAAAAATGCACAGTTCCTCCATCTATGTATGTCACTGTACAAGCCATTGCAGGCTACCAGATTATTGTTTCAGCTAATGTTAATGCTGTGAATAAGCTTCTTTCCTTAATGCGCTCATTAAGCCTTCTTTGCAACTACCATTTGAACCCAGCAATATCCTTTAAAGTAAGGGAAACATTTACACATACATTAGTTATCAGAAAGCTTGCCTGCCAAGCAAACGCTAACATTATCTAGTCCTTCATGATAAAAAGTCACCATGTAGAAATGCTGGTTTGCATTAGAAAATTGTAAAGAGGGACTTTCCACTTCACTAATATTCTACAGTTACTAGGAACTTTTTCTCTTTCTACTCTATGCTGACATACAAGATATCACTTCACTGGCAAGTATGGAAATGCAAAGCCAGGTAGTTCAGGCTGCCAGCATGCCAGGCTCAGGTGCCATGAACCACTACCAAAATAACATCCAGCAGAGGGGCAAATTTCTTAGGCAAATATGAGACAACTACTTAAAAAAAAAAAAAAAAAAGAGTGAATACAAGAAACCTTTACATGGCCGGGCATATAAGGCTCAAGAGGTGAATCTGTTGCTAGAGCTCCATTCACCCAGAAGGCAAGCAGCCATGTGGCAGCTTCCACATCCACCACATGTGAGTTTATTCCAGTGGGAGCTTAAAAGGACAATGGATGCTGTCAGCTTCACACAACTAAAAGCAGACTTACAACAAGGAGGACTTAAACAATGAAAGATTTGTAGGGCTTTTTAAAAAATTCTTTTTAGATCATTTAGCTTTTTCAGATATTTGCCAATCAAAATTATTTCCTCTTATTAGGGAACAAGGACTCATGAGTTGTTTGCACCCATTCTAATCCCATTCTCCCCAACATCCAGGGGTTTTATTAATTGTTACTCAGTCATCTGAAGATTAGGCAAGTCAAAGCTGATGAATGCAGGCACTGTGCTCTTGGACACATTTTCATTGGACGATGCTCTGTAAAAAATTTGGAAAAAATAATACATATAATACAGAAAAAGCATTAGACCAGAATATTAAATTAGTCTCCAGTCTAAATGAAATCCAACTCTGATGCAGCATATACAGAAGGCAGGGGAGAGGGGGGGGAAACAACAAAACCAAACAAACAAAAAAACCCACCACAAACACAGAGCTAAGGCTAGATAGACAAACCAAAAGGTTTTCAAGCAATACAAAAAAAAACATACCCAGCAGTTCTATTAAGAACAGGAAAAAAAAAAAAACCAAAACACCACCAACCCACAACTCAGAGCGCCATTACTTTTTTTTAATTGACATTTTCATTTGTTTCTCTAGAAGTAATTTCCTCCATTAGCACTTTGTCAGA